TTCACCTGGGAAGACATCTTTTCAGTGGGATCTTCCACAGAGGGCACCATGTGCGAGGGAGCACAGGTGGCACAGGCTTAGTACAAAGGCTTTGGAGGCTCCCCTCCGGCTACAAAGCCCAGTCTCTGAGCCTCAATGTCTGAGGAGACTCATGGCCCCCACGTGCTGGAATTGTATGAAGACCGAATGAGACCAAACCATGGCATTCCAATGGCCCAGGGCCTCCAACGCCCAGACATTGTCTTTGCGCGGATTTTGACTCACAGCCCTATGGGTCAGAGCGGGACTGTCCGGCTGGGTTCTCAGTCTTTAGGGAAGCTTGCCACCATCATCGTCATGGCCCCACATGCCCAATACACGTGGGCCATTAGTTGGGCACAGAAGGCAGGCAGGACAGGTGCTGGTGCCTCCAATTTATTTAAACAGAGAAGCAGGGAAACCAGAGAAGCTGGGTACCCAACCTGACGCCACGCAGGAAATGAACGAACTCTTCCATTCTGCTCTTCAAACCCCCCCACCCCAAGTTAAGGAGGAACCCCACCCCAGGCCAGAGTCCCAGGCCCAGTTCTCCTCCAATCAGCACCCTGCAAGCCCCCGCCGCTGATTGGCTCAGGGGCTGGCACGTGCTTCAAGTTGGTCCAATGAGGTTTCTCTCCCGGGCTTCCGCCGAAAGCTGTGGGCGGTGCTTTCCGTTCGGGAGCGCAGACGGCGGGCGCGCGAGGGGAGAGGCCGGCCGCTTGTGTCCCTCGGGGTCACAGCCCGTGGCCGCAGTGCGAGAAGCCAGCGGAGGGCACGCCCGGCCACCGGAGGACGAAGCGCGGCCAGACCCGCGTTTCCACGAGAGGAGCCGAACCCCGCTTGTCCCCGGCCACGGAGCCCTGACCCCACTGTCCTGACGGTCGACGGCTTGGAAGCGAAGCGGAGCGTCGTCGATTCTCTGGGCGCCAGGCAGAAGCCTTGGCCTGTGGACAGGGCCTTGAGGACCCCAGAGGCCACGAGCGGCTTTGTCCCCTCAGGATCCTTCGTCACATCGCTGGCCGTTTCCCCACACACGTCCTAAGCTTGGGACTGGGACCTAGCTTCCCGGGAGCCACCCCCAAACGCCTTCTTGCTTTTGAAGGGGAGATGGGGAGGAGGGTCGGCTTTGAGGGGGAAGAAACCGTCGTGCTATAGGAAGTTGATTTGCCTTTATACCAACACAGCTATAAAATCGCACTGTAAATTTGAAAGCATGGAAGGAGACCTTCCCTGGACTCAAAAAATCCCGCCTCAGCCTTGCTTACAAGAACTCCTGGGCTGAAAGGACTCTGGAGAAAGCGCCCATGGAGATAACCCGCCTGAGGGGCTGTGAAGAATGCGGAGATGGGAGGCCTAGTAGGGTCCCATGGGAAGTGGGAGAAGGCACCTGGGAAGACAGGCTGGCTTTATGGGGCACATGCGAAGTTCCTTGAGTTGGATATTCCATCATTTCCTCATACAGCTCTATGGGGTTGATGTTTACAAAAGAGCAAAACCACAGCTTGATTGAAGTCTAATCCACATACAATCCAATTCACTGTTGGAAGAGTATAATCCAATGTTTCTTAGTATTGAATAACATACTTTATGTGGGGCTACTTATTCTGGATCCAAGCCCCTTGTCAGGTAGATTAGATAGATAGATAGATAGATAGATATAGATGTGAGCTGCAAATATTTTCTCCCGTGAAATGGATTGTCATTTTGTGAGGGTTCCATTTGTAGCACAAGAGTGTATAATTTTGATAGAAGCCTAATCTATAGGTGTTTGTCCTTTTTTTTTTCATAATTAAGGCCAAATCCCAGGTCGAAGAGATTTACATTCTAAGATTCTTCATTAGGTGAAAATCTTATATTTTGGTGTATGATCCATTTGGACTGAATTTTTGTGTAAGGTGTGAGGAAGGGATCCTATTCAGTCTTCTGTATGTGGAGATCCAGTTATCCTAACAGTTGAAAAGATCATTCTTTCCCAATTAATTTATTGTCTTAGCACCAAGGATTGTTTTTTAAATATTTCCTAATGATGTGAAATGATGCTTTTCATGTTTTCTTTACTCTCCTGGTTTTTCTTTGTGTCCACATAAATTACTTTCTGCATGTGTGTGTGTGTGTTTTGTGCCCAGAAGGCTGGCTGCTTTGAACTGTGTTGTTTGGGTACCCTTGACTTCT